GCCTGGAGATCCAAAGCTAGGTAGGGAAAACATCTACTAAGTTCTCACTGTGTGCCTGGCACATAGTAACTTGGGCCATCGTCAGTAACTCAAGAGTTTGAGAGAGGAGCCGGGTATACTGGGAAATTAAGTGATTATGCCCAGGGACACACAGTCAGGATGCTTTAGAAACAGAACCTGAACCCAAGTCAGTTTTTAAACCACTAAGGCACACTGCCTCTCTATACATAATAGCTGCTTAATAAGACCATGGATTTATTGAATGGGAGCTTAGGGACTGTCTGTCTTACTGATGAAGGACCTGTGATTTCCATGCCACGTAGAACTCCTTGGTGAAACAACTACCTCTAGGTACCTTCTCTGTAGTTTATAGTATTGATGAAGAAACTGAGGTTCACAGAAGGGAAGGGATTTGTTTAAGGTTGTGGAGACAGGTAAAAAGCAGAACAAGGATTCAGGTCCTGCCCTTCTGATTGTAGATCCAGAGTTAATTTACCAACTTCTATTTCTAAAAGCATGTTTCTATAGGTAGTTTATATCATTATCCTCATGTTACAGGTGGGGAAACTGAGGTGAGCAGCTGATAAATAACATCCAAGTTCATAATGCTAATGAATATCTGGGACAAGATTCCAACTCAGATTTTCCTGACTTGGAGGTTGGCACTCTAATCGTGCCGCCTCTCCATACTGCTTGTTTTGGGGATCTGTGGGCTTTATATATGAGCCTTGAGTTTTTTTCCCAGCAGCTGGGGAACCACCTCTTTGTCTTTCAACCATGGCTTCTTGGTTCACTGCCTTGGTTCTCTGTGTCTCAGTATGCTCCTGTCAAGCCAGAAACCCCCAAACATGAAGCAATCACCCTAATCTACCAGGGAAGAAGGATAGGGCTCATCCTGGTCCCATGATGAGGAAAGTATTGTGAACCTCCTTTCTAGCTTAAATTTCAGTTCTGATGTCAACAACAGGACACCTGTAGCTTTAAAATCACCCCCCCCCCATATTTACTAATAATAGAAAACAGGAAACTCTTAAGTTAAAAAAAAAGTTCTCTTCCCTTTTTTTCTTCACCAAGTTTTACCCAGTGAGTTGTTATTTATAATGGAGACCTTGGAGAGTCATGAGTAGGTATAAGCAGGCTGAAGTATGTTACCAATGTCATCTGGCACATAAGAAATGGCCCCTAAGGCAGTATTAAGGATGTGGATGACCAGGAAGGGAGGGGCTGAACACATAGTGAGAAAGACTTTTAGCCAAACTAGGCATGCCAAGGGACTCGCTATCAACTGCCACCCACAGGGCGGGCAAGCTGAAGGTACCCTGAGGAAGAGATAGGATGCAGCATGTGGCAGGGAAATCAAACCACCACACTTATTTTGACAACCACCTGCCCTCAGATGCTGATGGAGATAGCCTGAGACCATGAACCTAAAAGTGTTGGTAACAGAAATCCTCCCAGTTCAACCTCTGAAGCCATCCTGGGCAGATACAGCCTGGGGGCTTCACCCATAGCTACTGAAGAATCAGAAAAGAAGTTTCTTGCCACCAAGTTCTTGACTCTCTCAAATGGTTCAACATCAGAAATGGATGAGATTTTATCAGTGGAAAAGACTTTAAAGAAGAGGCATTACCATCCTGAGATCCAAGAAAATGGAAAAGAACCTATCTGCACAAAAATATTTATAGCAGCCCTTTATGTGGGGCAAAGAATTGGAAACTGAGGGGATGCCCATTAAATGGGGAATGGTTGAACAAGTTGTGCTATATGATTGTGATGGAATACTATTGAAATGATGAGGGGGATGGGTTCAGAGAAACCTGGGAAGACATATGAACCAATGCAAAGCCAGATGAGCAGCACTAGAACATTGTACATAGTAAGAACAATCAGCAGTGAAAGACTTAGCTGCTCTTATCAATACAATGATTCAAGATAATTCCAAAGGACCCATGATGAAAAATGCTTTCTGCCTCCAGAGGAAAAAAAAAGACTAATGAACTCTGAGTGCAAATTGAAACATACTTTTTTTTTTTACTTTCTTGTGTGTGTGTGTTTTCTTTTGCAACATGGCTAATATGGAAATGTTTTGCATGACTTCACATATATAATGAATATCATATTGCTTGCCTTCTCAAGGAGTGGGGGAGAGGTGGGGGGGACAGAGAGAAATGGGAACTCAAAACTTTAAAAAATGAATGTTAAAATTTTTTACATATAATTAAGAAATAACAAAATAAACAAATATATATATATATATATATATATATATATATTTTAAAGCATTACCATCTGCTTTGCTGCTATACCCTAAGGACTATGGGGTGTTTCCATCTGACTTGCAGCTGAAACCTTCCATATCTGTTATTTTCTCCATTACAGCTTTAGCTCCTTGACAATAGGGACTGTGTGACTTTCCTGTTTGTCCTCAGTACTTTGCCTCCCACCTTTGCATAGCTGTCTCTGTGCCAGGAATACACTCTCTTCTCCCTAGATTTTGGCAAGATGCAGGTCATCTGCAACCTCCCCTAGGAAGTCTTTCCTGATTCCCCTCATAGTTCGGGGCCCCTGTCCCCCACTTCAAATGATCAGGTGTTTATTAGTTATTCACATATTGTAGCTCCCCAGCAGAAACAGACGCTTCTCCAGGGCAGACAGTGATTTCCATTTTGTCTCTGTATCCTTGCTACCTAACATAGGTTGGGCTTAATGAATGCTTGTGGAACTGGACTGGATTGGAGAGGGATGACAGTTGGAGTACCTGACTGATACGCAAGAGTCACTGCAAAATCCAGAGGCCTCCAAAGTGCTGAGTGGGTCTTCCACATAGCATTTATCAGAGGATGTAGGAAAAATTCACAGGTGAGGAGGATGTAAACCAGTGATCTGCACAGATGTAGGGAGTACTCACGTGGAAGGATCAAAGTTTATCCCTTTGAGTGCCCCAGACAATGATGAAAACCAGATGTCCCATGAGAAGTTACCTTTCCCTATTTCTCTGCAGAGGTGGGGGGCTATAGATGTGGAACACTGTATACAACCTCAGACTTTTTTTTTTTGATATTGTTTGGTTTTGATGAACCATTTTTCCCTTTTTTATTCTTTGTAATAAAGGAAAGTTGTCTGGGAGGGACATACTGGGAAACACATGTGATGTAAAAACAAAAGATACCAATGAAAATTTATTAGAAAAAAATTAAATAAAGTTAGGTGTCCCTTACCCTGTTATTGCCTTCAAAATAAACTGAAGAGGTATTCCCCCCTCCCCCCCCACTCTGTCATATAGAGGCTGGTAGCTGCCTCAGTTGATCCCTTTGCTCAAGGGTCCATCTGCTGGGAGAGAAAGAGAAAGACAGAGAGAGAGAGAGAGAGAGAGAGAGAGAGAGAGAGAGAGAGAGAGAGGGACAGAGAGACAGAGAAAGAGAGAGACAGAGAGTGAGAGACAGAGACAGAGAAAGAGAGAGACAGAGAGTGAGAGAGAAAGAGAGAGACAGAGAAAGAGAGAGACAGAGAGTGAGAAAGAGAGAGACAGAGACAGAGAGAGAGAAACAGAGACAGAGAGAGAGAGAGACAGAGAGAGAGAAAGAGAGACAGAGAGTGAGACAGAGAGACAAAGAGACAGACAGAGAGAGATAGAGAAAGAGGGACAGAGAGAGACAGTGAGAGACAGAGAAACTTTCTGTATTCTTCAGACTTTAAGATCCTTACAGCAGGGGTAAAAGTAGGAACAGGGGAAGGGACTCACATTGTAAGTCCATTGGTCAATTGGAGGGATTGACCCTGGAGATGCAAGTTTCCCAGTAGCCAAGATCCTCCCATCTTCCCCATAGGAAACACCCTGTCATGGGGAGGGGATACAGCTGGCATGATGTTCTGCCAGGGTGGGCATCAAGCTCTATGCCTCAACAATGTCCAGCTGGTGGTCTTAGCTGATCCCAAGCCACCACTAAACTCGCCTTGCAAATATCCACTGGTCCAAGGCAATGGTTATATAAAGGCTGCTGTCTTCACTTGACCAGATTACTTGTGGGGAGGGTGAAAGAAAAAGAGTATAGGTTGTTAAAAATTAAGAGGCTCGTTATTAAATTCCCCAAGGTAAATTAAAATATATCAGTATCACACAAAGAACAATGTTAAGAGTCTAGGCAGAATGAAAATTGCTTAGATGATTCTGACTGGATCTGGATAACTTTGGAACAAGAAGGGACCTTAGCTCAACCACCTCATTTTGTGGGGAAACTTAGGACCAGAGAGACAGTCTGGAAGGAAAAAAACCAAGATCATGGTGGCGTACTGGAAGGAGTCTCATACTTGGAGTTAGTCGATTCCTAGGTTTCTGCTTCTAGCTATGTGACCACAGGCCATCACACCCTCTCTGAGCTTCACTTTCTTCATCTATAAAATGGGGATAGGGTACATAAATGTTTGAAAACCTTAAAATACTCTACAAAGGAAATCTGTTATTATAGTGAGAGGAGTGGAGGTCAGGCCATGTGAGGACAGAAGGAACAGGGTCACATTAGCCTGAAGAATAGAAGACTGGGAGAAGTGACATACATGAAGGCTGTCTTCAATTACTGGAAGAACAACTGTCCTGTAGAATCAGAGAACTGAGATCAGACCTGGAAAGGCCCTTAAAGGTCATCTAGTCCAATGCTTCTTAAACTTCTTTTTTTTTTTCAGGGGGGTTGCTTTTTTTTTTTGCAAGGCAATTGGGGTTAAGTGACTTGCCTAGGGTCACACAGCTAGTAAGTATCATGTATCTGAGGCCAGATTTGAACTCAGGTCCTCCTGACTCCAAGGCTGGATCTCTATCCACTGTGCTTTCTTAAACTTCTTAAACACAATTTAAGAAGCGCCAAAGGGGTCATATGTAGAAAAAGTTTAAGAAGCCCTGACTAATCCAATCTCCTCATTTTACAGATGAGAGAACTGAGGCCCAGGGAGGGGATAGTAAGTAGAAGAGGCAGAGTCAGACTCAGACTTGACTCAGAGTCAAGTGCTTTTTTTTTTTTTTAACCATGCCATCCTTAGATTGGCTCTTTTTGGCCTCAGTCATTGCTTGAAGAAAGGATGGAAACTGCAGAGAGGCAGATTGCAATCCAATATAAGAAAAACTTTCTAAGAAATTTCCACCTGTCCCCAAGTGAAAACAGGCTGCTGTGGGAGGTGGTGGCAGCTTCTACATTCCTGGAGGGCTTTGAGCAGAGGCAGGATAAACTTGTATTAGGGATGTTTGAGGAAAAAGTCAGGGTTCAGGTAAAAAGTGGACTAGATGGTCCCTAAGCCCTCTTCCAGGAGTGCAATGCTGCATCCACAGTGAAGCTGGGGCCAGGGCCGGCACAGTCCAGTCTCCTGACTCCCAGGCCAGCCCAGGGTCAGTGTTATTTGAAGCCACTTTTCCCCAGGCCAGACGCCTTGGGCTGGCCCCAGGACTGCTGAGTCAAGGCTTTCTACTCCCTCTCTTGCTGAGGGGGATGCCATCACAAAAGAGCCCAGAAACCGGGTGACAATGACTCCACTGTTCAATGTCACTGAGTGGGCCTCTCAAATATCCTGGGGACATGGTTATAGGATTACTGCACACCCACAAAGAACTGTGGCATTGGGTTTTTTATAACAGGACAAAAATGCCAATTTGGGGTATATTTGGAAAGGGCATTTAAAAAGTCAAGAACTCATCTCCCTCCCAGAGTAAGCCCTACAATTTTCAACTAAAAATAAATTGGGGATTGGGTTAGGTTGTTTATTTACTAAACATAAAACCTAAAACAAATTGGTAAAAATCCTGCCTCTCCCCCCCAACACACAGAGGCAGTGTATCTCAATGAGGAGACCAATGGATTCAAGAACCAGAGGACTTGAGGTTACATCCCAGCTTTGCCACTTAACTGTGTACATCTGAACAAATAGCTTTTCTGTGCCTCAGTTTCCTTCTCTGTAAAATGGGGACACTACTACTTGCCCTTCCTATCTCACAAGAGCTCTATGGAGATCAAAGGTGATGAGGACAATGGAACCAAGCCTTCCCCATCATCATCATCATCATCATCACCACCACCACCATCTGATTTCTCTTGTGCCCTCTATCCCACTCTTTCAATCAATAAAGGGACAGGGATAGATAGGACCCATAACTTCAATGACAAAGTAAACTCCCAGAGGAGGAAATTCCTTTATCAATGCAAGATGTCATCTTCCCTGCATCTTGTGGTCTTTGAGAGTTGCTTACCGAACCTGAAGGCAAAGTGACTTGTCCAGATTAGTGTCTGATGCAGGATTTGAACCAGGTCTTCTTGAATCCATACCTGACACACTGTCCCCTACACTATGCTTTCTTCCTAATCTAGAACAAGGTGGGGGGGGAGGGGGACTAGATAGGCTTCCACATTAGAATTATTTCCACTCCAAAGCCCCTTTCGAAAATACTAAGAACTAATTTTTATAGAGAATTTAGAGGTCTGCAAAGCATGTTACATGAACATCCTCATTTGATCCCATTAACACTCCTCTGAGGCAGGTATGATAGGTGATATCTCTCCATCTTACAGATGAGGAAACTGAGGCTCGGGGTGCTTAGGTCCACAGTCACACAACTAGTAAGCATCCGAGCCAGGACTAAACCCAGATCTTCCTGACTTCCAGTCACCAACCCAGAACACGTAGATCAGAACCAAGGGGATCAGAGAACAATGAGTGTTTGCATTTGTGATGGACAGAAGAGGGGGCCCAGAGCAGGTTCCCTATCCCTGGCCTAGGGTTGATCTCAAGAGCTAACACCTGGCAGGTTCTGTAACAACTCTGGAGAATGTGGCTGAGGGGAGTGGGTGGGATGGGATGCCCAAGGCCCAGCTGGAAGCCTTCACTCCTTTCCTTTGTGGGGTGTTGAGGGAAACACTACCCAGCTTCCTTAAGAGGCTGGCGTTTCTGAGCTAACATCAGACATTCTGCATGTTTGGCTTCTGCCTGGGATTTTGTTCTCGTACGAAATTTGTGGAAAGGAGGGAGCATCCTGAGGCTGCCGCATCCAGCATTGTTGGCATAGAACCGTTGTACCTTCCCCCTCATAAGAGCAGCTCCCGTCTCTAAAGAAATTCAAGGTTTGCACAGTCTTTACTGGGGTTCTCTCATTTGAACCTTATAACATCCCTGTGAGGGAGGTTGCTATTGTGATTCCCATTTTACAGATGAAGGCACTGAGGCTTAGACAAATGAAATCTCTTGGGTAGGGTTGAAAAGCTGGTAAATGGCCTGAGGCCTGACTTTGAATCCAGGTCTTCCTCTTTCCATATAACCATCACATTCTCTTTTGGTCACAATCCCTCCAGAGGCACCAGCTCAAGATAAGTTGGGCTATACGGCACCCAGTCCTTTTACAGAGACCAAGCTGGCCTGTTCCTAACACATCTGAGCACTAGGCATGATCACAATCCCTGTCTCACGGCTTCTCTTAGCTCACAAGAGGAGTGAGCTCAATAACAGACAAGAGGGTGCCATCTTGTATCCAGCAGATAGAGGGTTATGGGCTTCAGGGACAAGATGCTGCTCATAGAACTATCCAGGCCAACCACCTCACATTACGTAAAAGGAAATTAAGCCTCAGAGAGTGGAAGTGACTTGTCTAAGGCCCTACAGATAGTGAGTACTAGGGTTGGGATGGTTCCCAGATTCTTGGATCCCAAATCCAGTGTTCCTGTAAAGGGTTTAAACGCCAGGCTTGGGATTTGTTGTTACTAGGAACCACCTCCAGGAAGAACCGAAGTTGGACTTGGAGATATTATAGATGAGATGAAGGTGCTTATCGTATAGTGCATCAGGGAGCAGCCCAGCCCTCCCTTCCCCAACAAGATGTATAATCAGTGAAAGAACACCTCAAATCCTGGAAGGCCACAAGGTAGAGTGGGAGAGCCTTGACTTCAGAATCAGGCAACCAAAGTTGGAATCTCAGGTCAAGCATTTACTAGATGGATAGCCTCAGCCCTTCTTTGAGCCTCAGTTTCTGTACCTGTAAAATGGAGACGGTGAAACTCCTACTGCCTATCTTCACAGTGGTGTGAAGAAAACATGTTGTAAACCATAAAATGCTACACAAGAGTGAGCTAGTGTCACAGTGCAGAGTGAAGCGGGGTAGGGGGAGATGTGGTAATGGGTGGGGAAGTATCTACACAGCAGCTAGAACAAGGAAGAATGGGGAGTGTTTCAGAGTTCTAGCTCTGTCTAAAGAAGACACATCATCTGGCAGACACAGATGCCAGGATTCTGGTCCTGAGCTCAGGACAAAGCTATTTTATCAACTCATCTCCCTTGTTGATGCCGTCTCCAGATCTGGAGTTAGGGGTGTTTCACACTTGAGTTTGCTGCCTTCTGTCCACTGACATAATTTACCTGGGGAGGAGGCAGGATATCTTATTACTTAATTAACCCAGGCCCATAGAGTTCCCAGGAAAAAATGGTTTAATTTGCAGACTAGACATGTCTGGATGGAACACTTGGACAGATGCCCTTTTGGGGGCTCCCATCATCCTGCATCCAGCATTTGAAATAATTTAAGTGTTCTTGTCTTGGCTCAGCCAGAAACTCAGACTCATCATGTGGCCTTCTCTAGACTGAATTTTCCTGTGAGACAAGTCATTTAATCTCCCTCCACCTCAGTTTCCTCATCTGTAAAAAGAGATGGATAGAGTAGAAAGCCCACTGAAGTCTTTCCTGTCTCTATGGGTCTATGATCCCACAGCCCTCTGCTACAAAAATGAGAAGGTTGGGCTCGCTGGTCTACCAGGTTCCATTCAGTTCTGTTATTTTTCTAAAATTCTCCATTTTAAGTTCTCTTCCAGCTCTGAGATGGTTTTCTAAGGTCCCCTCCCTGCCCAGCTCTGACTTCTCTGTTCCAAAAGGTCTTCCAGATTGGATATTCTATGTTCAAATGCTTTTTTCAGTTCTGATGATCTATTATCCAAGAAGATGGATTAGATATTCTACATTCTATCACCGTATATTCTAAAGTCCCTTCTGCCACCAGCCTTCTAATATTCATTATCCCTTTGAAGCAGCTACAGGGATCGGGGAGAAAGGAGAACATAAATGTTAATACATATCTGACATAGTTTGCCACTGTGTCAATGTTAGGGGACCCAAGAGAGTTACTTAGGTTTTTAACTAGGGGGAAAAAGAGATTGTTAGGGCTTGTCCCCAGCTCCAATCCCATACAGAAATGCCATCATCAGTTTGACATAGACTCTGCCAGGAATCTGGCTCTTCATTTTCCTTCTTCTCAGCCAGGCCCATCTGAATGGAGCAGGAGATCTGGCTGAGGATCCCGGAGGGAGCTTCTTCGGTCATCGGTTCTCCATGTGGATGTCGACAGGAATGAATGTGACAGTGGTGGGCTGGCTGCCGAGGTTGTTGCTGGGCTGGCCTGCGGAAGATGCTGGGGAGGCAGGCTTGGGGCTCTTGGGTTCCAATTCCCGTCTCATTCTCATTTTTCTGTAACAAACAACATTTGAGTGGTTTCTGTTGCATTGTATCAAGATTCACAACAGAGACTACCGCTGAGGCCAGGAGGGTGTAAAATGTAGGTGATTATTAAAAACTTGTAAAAAAATTATTAATTGTTCCCCTGCACCAGTTACATGATAGTCTCAGAGAGTTAGCAGGATTGGATTTACATCTTAGTTTGGTTACTTATACCCTGAATAGTCTCGAGAAAGTCTCTTTGCCTTCCTAAACCTCAGTTTCCTCATCTGTAAAATGGGGTGTGTGTGTGTGTGACGATCTCTAAGGTTACTTCCAGTTCTCAGTCCCTGAAGTGCTAAACTAAATATCGATATTAACTATTTATTATTATCCCATGATCCTACGAATGTAAATACTAGAAAGAAACAGAGTTCATCTAGTCCAGGTGTTAACTGGCAGGAGCCTGGTGAAGCCTAGGGGCCCCTGCTCAGAAGAAGGTTTTTAAGTGGAGAAAATAAAATGAGGAGGAGGAGGAAGAAGAAGAAGGAAGAGGGAGAAGGGAGAAAGAGGAGGAAGAAAAAGGAGAACTAATATTTATACAGTGTTTACTATGTGCCAGGCACTGTGCTGAGTGAGTGCTTTACAAATATTATCTTCTCATTTGGTCCTCACAGCAACCCTTTGAGGTAGATGCTATTGTTATCTCCATTTTACAGATGAGGAAACTGAGGCAGGCAGCATTAAATGACTTGTCCAGGGTCACACAGCTGGTGTCTGAGGCTAGATGTGAACTTAGGAAGATGAGTCTTCTTGACTCTAGGCCCAGCACTCTAACCACTGTGCTACCTCGATGCAGGTCTCTGGCATAGGAGGTGCTTAATAAATTGTATGCCTATAAAAACAAAAATTGTTACCCAAAGAACAAAAATATATATGTATCCCCCTGCTAGTTGCCCTGGTTTTGAGACTTTTTCATTCATTAGCCCCTCTGGCAGGAAAATAGACAAATTCTAAGAGGCATAGAAAGGAATGGACATGAGTTCTGCTTAAGCAACAATAATGAGGGCAGAAACTAGGACATGGTGACTGGTGCTTTGTCCCATAGCATCAAAATTTAAAGAAGCGATAACATTTTCAGTCTTTCCCATTGGTGAGTTCCTCTTGGGACCTCTATTTTGTAGAGGGGTTAAAGCCAGCTTTCATTTCCCTCTCGGCCATGATCTTGACTTCAAAACCACGCCTCTGCTTCTGTCTCATCCTGGAACTTCCCTCAGGACCTAGAGCCTCCTCACCCTAGAACATGCAACCACTCTTGCAACTTTCTTCACTGAAGGTCCACTTCCTTCCCCACTGAAGACTTCTACCTGGGGCCTCCATTTATAGAAGGCCAAGCCAACTTTCATTCCCCTCCTGGCCCTGTTCCTGACTTCCAGATTTCAAAACCATCTTCCCCCACCCCCCCATCAGATACCTTCATTCCCACCCCACCCCATCCCACCCCTCTATCCCTCCCAGCTCCCACCCCCAACTCCCAGCCTCAGGAGGTGGTGACCTTTCATTCATAGATCTCTCCAAACAAATACTGAATGGCTGCTTGTTGGGGTTACTGTACAAGGGATTAGTCTCCAGGTATGGGGCAAATTAGATGGTCTCTGAGATCCCTTCCATTCTGCGATGTCCCCATCGGTACCTGTTGTACATTTTTAGCAAGATGAGCACCACGGTGAAGATGAGAATGACACCGACCACGATGGCCGCTACGATGGCTCCTGAACCTGCAATTGAGAAGGCAGTGAGCAGCAGAAGCAGGACTAGAACCCAGGCCTCCTGGTGTCCCACCCAGGGCTCTTTGCCCTGTACTCTGCTGCCTCCGCTCTGTCTGCCCTTATCCCTACAAGGCCAAAGCTCTGGCCAAACTGGACTGGTCTCTGCCCCTGAAACACATTCTAAACTTTCCCACTTCCAAGTCTTATTCATGCTGTTCCCTGAATATGAAAATGTTCTCATTTATTCATTTTTTTTTCATTCATTAACTACTAATTATAACTCCTCATACTTGGTGCTGGAGAAGACTGGAAGATAAATGAAGCTTGGCCCCTCCCTGAGAGGTGAAATATACCTTCCTGAAGTCATTGGCTACTGATTCCATAATGGAACTGACTTCCTCTTCCTAAGGTCCTCCCGAGCTTGGGTAAGGAGCTTCCAAAATGGTTATGGGGTAAAATTCCAGGTATTTCTATAAATCTATCTTTACAACCCTTCAAAAAGTTTGAAGATGGTCATTCGTGATATCTGTTTTCTCTGGGCCACTACAGACCCTCAAGGAAAGAAAGTCCTCTTTTTGGTCAAATACATACACTGGTTATAAAGATGCATATATAATATGGAGGCAAGGACAACCAAGTGAGGATGAATTCCTAAGAGTAGCAGGCTCAGGGATGTGATATTCCAGAAGGAGCTGAGGCTGACGGTGACTGCTAAGGGCAGCCCGAAGGGGTGGTGATTAGATATTTATATCTAATTAATTAGAAATTTATATCTAATTAATAGATATTTCAGGGGGGGAGGAGGGTCAGATAATGTGATAAAATCGCTGCTTAGAGGTGTATGGGATAAAGGACAAGGGAGAGAAGGCAGAACTGCTCAATTCTTCTTTTCCCATAGTTTTCTCTATCAGGGAAAACACACTTTAGGATTGGACCAACTGGAGGGATAGAACAAAAATGGTACCCAGGGAAGGGAAACCAAGGATGAGTGAGGGCACAGGAAGAGGCCATCCAATCACCCTCCATGAGCCCATGTTCACTGGGCCAATGTGGACTAGCTACTGAGATAGTTAAATAATTAGAGATGGGATCGCTTGTGATTGGCCAGTGATCTGTGCAGGAGCCTGGGGATTGGGAAAGTAACTAGTGGCCTGATGGCATCAAATATGGCCCCCAAATTAAACAGAACAAAACAAAAAAGTGGAGAGAGTGCAAACTTTAGGCCAGCGAAGCCTGGCCTCTAGTTCTCGGCAACATTCTAGGGCACTTTACCAACAGAAAGGTTTCTGAGCGCTCTGAGAAGCCAAAGTAGCTTAACTGAGAATAGGCCACGCCATATTGGAATCATTTCTTATAGTAACAGGATCACTAGACTACCAGGGGATACTGTGGCTACAGCATAACTAGATTTCTGTGAAGCATCTGACAAAATCTCTGGAGTTACTCTTGTGAGTTAGGGGCAGCTAGGCAGTTAGTAGGATAGGGCACTGGACCTGGAGTCAGGAAGACACAAGTTCAAATCCAGCCTCAGACCTTACTAGCTCCGTGTCCCTGGGCAAGTCACTTAACCTCTGCTTGCCTGGGTTTTCACATCTGTAAAATGGGGATAATAACAACACTGACCTCCCAGGGATGTTGCGAAGATCAAATGAGATATTTGTGAAGTGCTCAGCATAGCACATGGCACACAGTAAGCATTTAGTAAATGTTTATTGAAAATGGATTGCTGTTATTATTATTCTCTATTATATATTATACATAATAATATATAATTTCTGTATATTATATATGGTAATTATTCATTATTATGATTATTATCATTGTCAGCCAAAGTAGACTGCTCTCTGCTCTATACTTGCCCACTGCTGTGCTCAAGTGTTCACGTTCTCCCCTTTGCCCAGAATGCGGCTGTCTCATCCTTTCAGGTCCAGCTCAAATGCTACCTCCTCCATGAAGCCTTCCCTGATCTTCCCTGTCAGTAACAACCTTTGCCCCATGACCTGGCTTACATGGTACGTGATTTTTCACCTCTTCTGTTTGCTTATTTTGGGACTACCCCTGTGATTTCATCCCCGTGGGAAGCTTCTAATTTGGAAACTCCCTCCATTGATATAGATCAGGGATTCATCAACAATTTTTAGTCTTAAGAGTGGCCCAGGGGACTGTCAATTGTTTAGCACAGTGCCTGGCACACAGTAGGTACTTAATAAATGCTTATTGATTGACAGGGGTCAAACAGCTAATCTATGTCACATTTGAACTCAGGTCTTCCTGACTCCAAAGCTGCCTCTCTTTATACACTTACAGTGGTGTACAAGTAAATGTTTAACAACTGGTTCTCCCCAAAATGTCATGTACACTTCTAAGTTTATATTATTAATACTTTCCCATCACTTTCTTTTCTTTTCGAGCCAACTGGGGTGAAGCGACTTGCCCAGGGTCACACAGCTAGTAAGTGTCTGAGGCCGGATTTGAACTCTGGTTCTCCTGCCTCCAGGGCTGGTGCTCTATCTACCGTGCCACCTAGATGCCCCTCACTTTCTTAAGTTTAGAGTTCAGAGGTTCCAAACCGTGGGCGATACCATCCCCTGAGGGGCTGGAATGATCCAGGGGGGCAGTAGTAGCCTCGGGTGCAGTTGTACACTTAATCTGAGACCTCTTTCCTAGTTTGTAAGATTTCCAGGGGGGAGCAGAGTCATTTTTTTTGAAATGGGGGGGACCAAATATGTTTGGGAACCTATGGTAGACAGTCAGCCTGATCTGTAGCATTTGCCCAACTGTCTCCCCTAGGCTGGCTCCAGCACATCCCTGAACCCTTAGCATATACCATGATGTAATGCAGCCATAAGTGAGTTTCTTATCCTGCTACCAGACTGTAAGCTCCATGATGTAAACTTGAAATCTCCTCTATTACTGAGTACCTGGTTCTATATATTATAGGGGCTCAATAAATGTTTATTCAAAGAATGAATGACTACATGCTTGGAGTGCCTTGCCTCTTGGCCAGCCCATGGCCGCCTCTCTAGAGAACCCCCAACACATCTGAGTCAGCCTCCATTCTAGCTGCTGTTCTCTGGCCTGGCCCCCGGCACCTCACTCAGTCGCCCTTACTCTTATAGAGGAAGTCTTCTGTGGACATCGCAGTCTCATTTCCTGGGAAGGTGGAACCTCCCAATGGGGCCACTGTGGTCATCTTGGTCTTGTCTACAAAGAAGAGAAAATGAGTTCAAAAGCTGCAATGCCTGTCTCTTTGATTTCTCATGAACACCCATGCGGGAGTCATGCACTGAAAACAAATTCAGTTTATCAACAAATATTTACCCAGTGTTTCTTACATGGTAGGTGGTAGGCCTGGCACCATGGAGATTTGAAATTCAACACTCATTGAGTGCCTACTGTGTGCTGAGCACTGGAGGACAGCAATCCATCAATCAACAGACGCTTATTAACCTGCCATGTTGCAGGGATACAAAGATACAATCCCTCCCCTTACTGAGCTTCCATTTTATCAAAAGATACAAAATATAAGTCAGACATAGCTCCTGCCCTCATGGAACTTACAGTCTAGTAGACAGTAAGCTGTGATCATATCCCTCCTTCTACAATTTTGAAAACTCTGGGAGGTAAAGATGATGTAAGAAACTTCTACAGAAGAGGGAATAGGCTTTATCTGCTTGGCCCCTGAAGACAGAAACACGGAGCAATGGGTGAGGGGTATAGAGTGGTAAATTCTGGCTTGACTTCAGGGGATGAAAGCTGTCCATAAGAGAAGCGGGCTGCCCCTCACTGCTCCCTTCCAGTAAAGGCTGAATTGTCCACTCATCACATAGGTTGAGGGGGAATCCTTTCTCAGGGCTTGGGGTAGATGAGATGACCCCCTCTCTCCCCCTCCAAGTCTCTTCTATTTTAGAGATTCTGTGATATGGTGGTGGGGGTTGTCAAATCTCATGACCCCATCTAAGTTTTCTTGTCAAAGATACTGGCCATTTGCCACTCCTTCTCCAGCTCATTTTACAGGTGAGGAAACTGAGGCAAACAGGGTTAAGTGACTTTCCCAGGGTCACACAGCTAATAAGTGTCTGAGGCTGGATTTGAACTCAGGTTTTCCTGACTTGAAGCCTGGTGCGCTACCCACTGAGACACCTAGCTGCCCTCCATGATATGGACAAGTCATCAGTGAAGGTGGTAACTACAAGGTACATCTAAGATGTGCAAAGTGCCACGTGAAAGAAGTCAGGGAATTGTCACTGATTGTAAGAATCAGGGAAGGCTTTCTGGAGGCTGTGCCATTTCATAGGATCATGGACTTGTCGCTGGAGGGGAGAGGAACTTAGATATCCTTTAGCTGAATGCATGATTTAAAATTCAATTTATTTTTTAGGAGGAAACTGAAGCCCACAGAAATGAAAGGGCAGAACAGCGTGAGAGGTAAGATTCGAACCCATGTCCTCTGACTCCAGATGCCATGTTCTTGGCTTTAAAGATCCAGAAAGAATCCAAAAAGGCAAGAAGGGAAAGGGATGGCATTCTAGGTGGGGGTAACAGCATGAACAAAGGCACGGAGGTAGAAAAGTATTGGGGCAGACAACAATCCAATATGGCTATGACTTAGTGCATGTAGAATGGAATAATGCGAATGAAGGCTGGAAAAGACAAGTGGTATCAGACTGTGATGGGCTTTGAATGCCAGGGTGAATGCTTTTACATCTACAGGTTTGCATCTATGATGAACCTAAATGAATCTCAGAATCTTAGAGACAAAGTAGATGAAAAAAAAAAACTCTAAAAGACTTCAGAACTCTGGTCAATGATAAATTCTTATGCCAGGTCCTGCTGAAGAAGTAAGTGATGGACTTAAAAGGCAAAATGAGACAGCCCATTTCTGGACGTGGCCAGTGTGGGGATTTGTTTTGCTGGACTCTGTGTATTTGTTATGAGGGTTTTTTCAAACAATAACTGCCAAATTGGAAGAGAGATAATAAATGCTTCCAAAAATGAATAAACATATAAATAAAAAAGAATCAAGACTCAGAATCCTAGATTCTTATTTCTGCCTCAGTTCCTCCTATTATATAACCCAGGGACCTTTGCCTATCCAGTGCTTACTTAACACACTATATGCCTGGCACATAGTAGGTGTCTAATAAATACTTGTCACGTTGTCTTGACTCTACCTGAAAAGGACTTTAGAGCTTCCTACCTTCTCGGTTCCAGGGGACATCACAGATGCAGAGCTCAAAGGGACCTCAGTCAACTAGTCCAACCACCCCCTTTACAGATGAGGAAACTGAGACACAGAGAAGTTAGAGACTCACCCAAGGCCACATAGGAAGAGAATGGCAGAGGAAGAATTTGAACCCGGGTCTTCTGACTCTAAAATCCAGGGTGGCACCACAATGAACCCATGAGTAACCAACATCCACGCTGTGTTTCAAAGCTTCATCGCTGAGCTTTTCCCTCATAACCATCCTGTGAGGTATGTGGTACAAAGAATATTCTCCCTGCTTTCCAAATGGGGAAACTGAGGCTCAGAGAAGGGAAGTGAATTGTGCAATCGCACAAGTAGTAAGCCCCAGTACCGGAACAGATCACCAAAAGGAAGCTGAATGCCAAGCAACAGAAAACTAATGAAGATTAAAACTAATGAATTAAAAGAGAGAACAAAAGAGATCTAACCTCTTATGGCAGAAAGTGGGGGAGCACCAGGGCAGAATATTGTCCAGGTCCTCAGATGTGGTTTTGCTTAACTGTTTTTCTCTGTAACAAGGGAGGGGGTCTGGAGGAGGAGGGGGTGGGAAATGAATTCGCCTTATGACAAAAGGCCTCTATAAAATGCCTTTAAAAAAAAAGTATCCCGGCTTGGAATCAAACTTGGGTCTCCTGGCTTGCCCAGGGCTCTTTCCATGCACTGTCCTCCGCAGCCTCGGCATTTTCACACAAAAATGCAAAGAATTGTTCTGGATGATTAAAAAAAAACAAGAAAAGGGAAAACAAGCTTGGGTCCGGTAGTTTCTCTGATGAGGCCATATCAGTGTCAAAGGGAGCAGGGCCCTCTCTCACAGTGTTGAGCGCAGCAAGATTTCAAGGGACCCTCCCAGGGTAGCCTATTTCTCTTTGATTCCTCCATTTGGCCTTAGATACTTGTGTGGCCTTGGACAAGGCACTTAGCCTTTCCAGGCCTCAGTTTCCTCATTTGTAAAATGGTGGGCAGACAGCCTCTGAGGTCCTTCACTGCTATCTCCAATCAAGTTTCTTTGCAGGCTCTCCCCTCTGGGTGTCTCCATGATGTCCCAGTCATCTCTTTATCCTTGGAGCACTTCTGGCCCTGGAATTCACACCTCATCAGTACCCTTTCCCTGGGGCCCCTCCTCCCAACCAGGCTTCACTCTTCCAGACTTTGGGGTACCTTCTTCTCTCTTCCTCCCCCACTTTCAGTTTCCCTGTAAGTGTGAAAGTAAGAAAGTAAGCTCCCAGAGGGCAGGGACTTTTTTCTCCTATTCCTAGAGCTTAGCACTGGGCCTGGCACATAGAACCTGCTTAATAAACGACTGTTTACTGACTGATAGTCACTTTTACCCATCACTCCTAGTCCTGCCTTCTGAGGGTGAGCAGAACACTCCCTTCTTGGGGAATGGTCCTTCCAGTACTTGAAGACAGCAGGGCCACACTAAGTCTTCTCTCCTAAGTTCCTCGACTGATTCTCATATGGCCTGATATCAAGGCCTTTTGACATATCCTCCTCCAAATGGATTTATTGCTGGCCAGCTTTATTGATGTCTGTGGGAGTCTATGACTTCCTCAGCGCTCACATGCAAATCTCTAAGACGATACAAGCTGCAGAGTGGGAGTCCATCTGTATTGACAGAGGGAGTTTTCTCACCAGGAGCTCCCAGCTCTGATGATGTCACAAAGTTGAGCATAAAACAAATACTTTGTATATATTTTTATATTACCAGCTGTCTCCTCACAGTTGTAAGCTCTTTGAAGACAAGACCTCTTTCACTTTTGTATCTCGATTATCTGGCATACAGCAGGCACTTACTAAAAGCTTACTGACTAGTATTTCCATAAAGTCCTTGACACGGTTCTAAGAAGCTCCTTTTAGAGGCCCTGCTTGGCCCTTCCAGTACTAAGCTGAGAAGCTAGGTGGCGCCATAGTGCATAGAGTGCTGGGCCTGGAGCCAGAAAGACTCATCTTCATGAGTTCAAATCTGACCTCAGATACTTACTAGCTGTGTGGCCCTGGGCAAGTCACTTCACCCTGTTTGCCTCAGTTTCCTCATCTGTAAAATGAGCTAGAGACAGAAATGGTGAACCACTCTAGTATCTCTGCCAAGAAAACCCCAAATGAGGTCATGAAGAGTCAGATATGACTGAAAAACGATTGAACACATCACAAGTCAATCACTGAGTTGTACATGTACTGATGTCTTCAGCTTGCTGAAAAGGGCTCATCCAGATTCATGGAAAAAGCCTTGATGTGGAGTTGGAAGACCCAGGCTCAAATCCTAGCTCTTCTATTGACGAGCTGTGTGATGCTGGGCAAATCGCTTAACCACTCTGGGCCTCAACTCCTTCATCTATGAAGTGAAAGAACTGGACGAGGGCCTGGCAAATCCAATAACAGTCCAGGGGTTAAATAACCTTGCAAGACACGAACACAAAGAGCCATGAGGCCTCGTAGAGTAAATACCAAATGAGCCGGAATGGAGAGCAAGGGCCCCAGGTCTGTAGGAGGGGACCGGGCCCAACTAGAACTGGAATGTGACCCAGGGCCTCCAGTGACCTCTTTGTCTTTGGCCACAAGTCAACATTCCTACTCCCAAGAATCCCCAGGCCCACCGAGCACCCCCCTTTCTCTGAGCCCTGAGACCACGCCCCACCAAATATGTACCAGGCTGGATGGCCGTCCTCCTCCGTAGTGAGAGTGATGAAAACAATATAGCATGGAGAAACCTGGCAAGTGGGCTGGTCTGCCCCCACTGAATGCCTTCTTTGTTTAGCCCTGGCCTGGTTATGGTAACATGACCCTCCCATCTAGCAAGGGGGCCCAGTACCCTAGAGAAAAAAAACACTGAATCGAATGATTCTAGAGACCAGGTAACATAGGAGAACGTTTCATTCCCCTTCCCCGCCTCCTCACCGTGTCCTGGGCTTCACAGTATGATGGAAACAGCCCTAGTCCGGGGGATCTTTCATGTACC